TCCTAGCCTCTAAACGGGTACCTAACCCTTATGATCGTAAAGGGGTGATTGATCGTAAAGGGATCCAAGGGCTAAGGATAGAGTTCGGGGTAACCTACCCTAACACTAGCGATATTTGGATGTGTTCAGCGCCAATATAATATCCCAAATAAACTGCATTCTTGTGCATAATAAATGAATCGAAAAAATAATATGTGTATGTAAGTTCCCATTTATAACCATTTTAGCCACTTGAATTACGAGAAAAACAAAATAAAAAATATTTAAAAATAAAAGTGCTTTCGTAAACTAGCCCTTGCTATAAAATGTGCCAACGCAGGCTATATTTAGTAAACAAATATTCAAAACTCTCCACACTGCTTGGCGTATTCAATGACATTTCATGTAGAGATGATTGATCACTTGGAGGAGCTTATGCACACTCGATGACCCCTGACATCACAGGGAATTGTTCCACCGGTGTGACTGGCAACAAAATACTACAAATGACGTCATGGGGTATTGTCACGTGTTTGAAAAGTTAATGGTACTGTATTCTAAAGGTAGGCCCAATGATTGTACCTTCCAGACTACATATTGAAAAATCTATTTATGGCCATTACTTGGCCAATATTGTATAAAATACAATGAAATTGGATATGTGTTTAATAAATTAGAATTTTGTTATATTTCAGTTTTTTATGATCATTGTCTTATTTTTATTTAATTGCATATTTTGCTCTATAAACTTCCCCTCTGAAATTGCCAGGCTGCAGGAGTTGAACCTTGGGTGTGTTTCTGCTTCTTTTGTCTTTAGATTTTTGTGTTACTTTGTATGCAGTCTATATTTAAATAGCAATGCTTACAGCAACTTTTCTTAAAAAGTTAACTCTTTGATATTTTAAACAGGGCCATATTTTTGTCTTTTCCCCTCATTAGAGGAGATGGGTAGAAGGCAGTAACAAATGTCAAGTATACTTTTGACACACTAGCCGAAGCCACTGCATGGGTCTATCGAGACATTGGAGCTGGCTAACAGAGGATTTTATGAGGGCTTCTAAGGATCAACTCCTGTGTCACGTCATAGATACACAAAGATTTTATGATCTCTGAAATTAAAATATTTTAAAGAAAAAAAGCAGTTGTTAAATAAAGTATTAGGACAATTAAGGAACTCACAGACACTCTTCATTTTTTAGCCTGAAACTGCAGTAATCTAGACTTGCCAACTATAATAGATTTGCATGGTATTGGATATATATTGCTCGACTCAGACACATAATAAGGATATCATTATAACACTGCAGGGCTCAACGTTAGAAACTCAGGTGTGCCATTGGACCTTTTTTGCTGGTGAGCCAGTTTCTATTTGGGTGTGTCTTGTCTTTGTTACCCAGTAAGTAGAACAAAAGGCAGCTAATCCATTCAGATAAAACCTTGTAATTACATGAAAGTTGTTATGTTGTATAGTACAGAGAGATCATACTCACTAATATACTGACTAAGTTGTTTCATGAAACATACGCATGATGGGAACATAATGATGATATATTGAGTGTCTTTTTCGTTTAAGGGGATTAAACCTTTTTCCAACTTCAGTTCCACTAGTTTTGTCAAACTGCATATTGAACACCTAATGTATTTTAATGTTCACTGGATTGTAAATGTGTTTCAAGTTTGCTGGTTCTGAAACACCTTGAACCATTGAAGAAAATAAATACTGGTTGACCATACTCTTTGCAAATTTTGCAACATATTAAAGTTTCATCCCTGTCACATATTAACCACATATTGTACTTTGGAAGAGGTCAATTACTTGCATTTATTTTGAAGATTATTTTGGCTTAGTTCATCTGAACTGTCACATGTGTCAGCCATGTCTGAATTCAATTTTGCTTCTCGGGGATATAGGCTGTTTTCCTTGCTCGTCGTCTGCAGTAACTATAATAGAAGTTGCAGCAGCAGACTTGAAGAACTACAAATTAGTGGAGTTTTTCTTTTAAGAAGTTTCTATTTTGACAAGTAGCTATTGTCTATGAGTAATGCACTGTGGTATTTTTTGTAGAATGACAAAAACTTTTCACTGGGATCAGAGCACTGGTAGCCGGAGGGTCCTCCAGTGTCTGCTGCTCCAGGTCTGTGCTGGGTTATATCATCACTGGGATCAGAGCACTTGTAGCCGGAGTGTCCTCGAGTGATGCCTGCTCCTGGTCTGTGCTGGGTTATAACATCAGTGGGATCAGAGCACTGGTAGCCGGAGTGTCCTCCAGTGTCTGCTGCTCCAGGTCTGTGCTGGTTATATCATCACTGGGATCAGAGCACTTGTAGCCAGAGTGTCCTCGAGTGATGCCTGCTCCAGGTCTGTGCTGGGTTATAACATCACCGGGATCAGAGCACTGGTAGCCGGAGGGTCGTCAGGTGACACCAGCTCCTGGTCTGTACTGGGTTATAACATCACTGGGATCAGAGCACTGGTAGCCGGAGTGTCCTCCAGTGTCACCTGCTCCAGATCTGTGCTGGGTTATAACATCACTGGGATCAGAGCACTGGTAGCCGGAGTGTCCTCCAGCGTCTGCTGCTCCAGGTCTGTGCTGGGTTTTAACATCACCGTGATAAGAGCACTTGTAGCCGGAGTGTCATCCAGTGTCTTCTGCTCCAGGTCTGTGCTGGTTATAACATCACTGGGATCAGAGCACTGGTAGCCGGAGAGTCCTCCAGTGTCTGCTGCTCCAGGTCTGTGCTGGGTTATAACATCACTGGGAACGGACCACTGGTAGCCGGAGTGACCTCCAGTGTCTTCTGCTCCACGTCTGTGCTGGGTTATAACATCACTGGGTTCAGGGCACTGGTAATTGGAGTGTCCTCCAGTGTCTGCTGCTCCAGGTCTGTGATGGGTAATAACATCACTGGGATCAGAGCACAGGTAGCCGGTGACACCAGCTCCTGGTCTGTGCTGGGTTATAACATCACTGGGATCAGGGCACTGGTAATTGGAGTGTCCTCCATTGTCTGCTGCTCCAGGTCTGTGCTGGGTAATAGCATCACTGGGATCAGAGCACTTGTAGCCGGAGTGTCCTCGCGTGATGCCTGCTCCAGGTCTGTGCTGGTTATAACATCACTGGGATCAGAGCACTGGTAGCCGGAGGGTCATCAGGTGACACCAGCTCCTGGTCTGTGCTGGGTTATAACATCACTGGGATCAGGGCCCTGGTAATTGGAGGGCCATCAGGTGACACCAGCTCCAGGTCTGTGCTGGGTTATAACATCACCGGGATCAGAGCACTGGTAGCTGGAGGGTCATCAGGTGACACCAGCTCCAGGTCTATGCTGGGTTATAACATCACTGGGATCAGGGAACTGGTAATTGGAGTGTCCTCCAGTGTCTGCTGCTCCAGGTCTGTGATGGGTAATAACATCACCGGGATCAGAGCACAGGTAGCCGGAGGGTGATCAGGTGACACCAGCTCCAGGTCTGTGCTGGTTATAACATCACTGGGATAAGAGCACTGGTAGCCGGAGTGTCCTCCAGTGTCTGCTGCTCCAGGTCTGTGCTGGGTTATAACATCACCGGGATCAGAGCACTGGTAGCCGGAGTGTCCTCCAGTGTCTTCTGCTCCTGGTCTGTGCTGGGATATAGCATTACTGGGATCAGAGCACTGGTAGCCGGAGTGTCCTCCAGTGTCTGCTGCTCCATGTCTGTGCTGGGTGATTACATCACTGGGATCAGAGCACTTGTAGCCAGAGTGTCCTCGCGTGATGCCTGCTCCAAGTCTGTGCTGGTTATAACATCATCGGGATCAGAGCACTGGTAGCCGGATGGTCGTCAGGTGACACCAGCTCCTGGTCTGTGCTGGGTTATAACATCACTGGGATCAGAGCACTGGTAGCCGGAGTGTCCTCCAGCATCACTTGCTCCAAGCCTGTGCTGGTTATAACATCACTGGGATCAGAGCACTGGTAGCCGGAGTGTCCTCCAGTGTCTGCTGCTCCAAGTCTGTGCTGGGTTATAACATCACTGGGATCAGAGCACTGGTAGCCTGAGTGTCCTCCAGCGTCACCTGCTCCAGGTCTGTGCTGGTTATAACATCACCGGGATCAGAGCACTGGTAGCTGGAGGGTCCTCAGGTGACACCAGCTCCAGGTCTGTCCTGGGTTATAACATCACTGGAATCAGGGCACTGGTAATTGGAGTGTCCTCCAGTGTCTGCTGCTCCAGGTCTGTGCTGGGTTATAACATCACTGGGATCAGAGCACTGGTAGCTTGAGGGTCATCAGGTGACACAAGCTCCAGGTCTGTGCTGGTTATAACATCACTGGGATCAGGGCACTGGTAATTTGAGTGTCCTCCAGTGTCTGCTTTTTTGGTGTATAACATGCACCCCTTCTATACAGCTTAATATTTTCAGTATACACAAGGTATGCAGACTGTCATGTACTGTAAACATTTGGGCTTCGTACTGGGGGCTTTCAAAGATCAATTTCATATTGGTCTGGAAGTTTGTCAAGAGGTCCTCATTGGAGCCTGGTGCTTAATATTGCGAATACATTACTTGTAATTGTTTAGATTAAAGAGGAAGGTTACTTTTGTTTCGCTTCAGGATACCATTGCACATGTATACAATAGCAGTTAAAAATACATATATCAGCCTTGGATTTATGTCATGCCACATCTTAAGTAGCCTGACATTTATATATCAGATGGGCCTCACTTGTGTTTCATGTCCTAATGCTGTATGTATTAAATTGTGCCACGCCCTCCTGGCCAGGAGAGTCCTCCTCAATCCAGCCCCTGCAGACATAAATCAAGTGCTGTTTCTGTGTTGTGATATTTGAGGGTTTGAGAAATGTGACACAGATAATAAGGCAGACATTGTTTTAGTGTGTGTTGTGCCAGGCTGTGTGGTCTGTAGCCAGGGTTTGCTGTCCAGCATGGACCTGGTGCTCACAGACATAGTGAAACTGGTCCGACTGGGTTAGTATGAAGGGACTTGTAGGCTGAAGTGTTGACATATCTGTTTCAGGTGCTCGGGAATGTTGATGGAGGGCAACATGGACAAATGACCAGTGGCCAGCCTGCCACTTTAGGTAATATACTGCCTCGCTGGGTAACAGCAGCTGCCTGGATACAGGCAATCATTGTCCTGTGATTGGTGGTCTTCTGTGTTAAAAACAGTCGATCAAGTGTTCATTGACAATTCAGATGCCTATTTATGTCTTTAAGCTTGCTCTTTGTAATACTTAAATGTTAAGATGTGGGACATACTGGCTAACAGAAGCTTATTGTCAGAACACACAGATTGGTCACATTATCTTTTGAAAATGACTAATAATTAAGGCTACAAATTGAGCAGCTTTCAGACCCTGTATATGTATAGGATTTATTATCCCCGCCCAATGAAGTTGGCGGGGGATATAGAAACGGGCTCTGTCCGTTCATCCGTCCGTTCGTCACGTTTCGTTTCCGGAGCATAACTCAGAAACCGTTCAATATTTTTTCAGGTCAATAAACTTTGCAGGTATGTCAGGTACATGCTGAACTGGTGTCTTTTGCTATTAAAATTTTAGGAATTTATATTTTTTTATTTTTCCATGGCAACAAGTTGAACATTTAGAAATTAATGAATTCTTCTTTTAAATGCCAAAATATTCAACTTGATACCCATTTAACCTGTTTAAGGAATCTTATAAGTCATAATAAAGTTTTTTTTTGTGCCTACATTTTGTGTTGGAGGTATCTCCCATAGTAGGGGAAACTGTGCATACCAAGTTGTCAGTATGTGCCTCAATAATGGTTGAGTGTAACATTCGTTTAATGACTTCATTATCAAATCCATCATCCCTACTTCTGCATTGATTATGAGAGAGATGATTGTGCAATAAGATGGCATACTTCTCTATGAAACTTTTAACAGTTTTCAGCACATGTTGATATGAAGACTTTTGTGCTGTAGAGTTTTTACATTCACATTTATAATATTGTCTTGTTTTGTTTGTTTTTTCACTGTATCATATCACATGGTATGACCATATTGTTAAAAAGCCACAACATAAAATGTGTGTGGCACTCGTGGCAGCCTACTTCCTCGCAGTAAGTGCCGGTAACATGACTTGTAATGTTTTTTCTTTCTCCCACCCTAATGAATTCAGTAGTAAATGTAGTAACTGGTTTTGTCAGTTTGTACTTCCATCATGTTTTTTGTTTTATTTTTTTCATGAACTTCATAGAAATTGTGTTTTGCGGCATTTTATTTTGTTTCTTCAGGATATTTTGCATTTTCATACAGTAGATGTTCCCTTGCTGCCTTTTACTCCTTAAGTTTTTTTGAATATTTTCAAATGTATGTGTTTGTGTGATCAAATGTCACTATAGTTGACATAATATACACTTCATTTGCTTGGCAGGAGACTTGGTCACGTTAGTGGCAAACTCTTCTTTATTTTACAATTTCCATGACAACAAGTTCCACCTCGGTTAAAAAAGGTTAGGGTTTGTATAGATTTAATTATGTCATAAATTCTGCAACAGAGGCGGGGGATATGGCCACGTCAGTGGCAAACTTTTGTTGAACCATGTCATGACGTTTATTTTAGTTATGAGACATTTAGTTATTTCATATGTCCTTGAATTTTATGAGGTTTCCTTTCAAGAATCTCTCCTGTTTTATTGCCTGTGACTATACTACCATGAAACAAATAGTGTTATCAATGATTTACCCGTTGTCTGTGTGCTGCTTCAGGTGTGGAAAGTAGGCCGAGCACCATAGAGGAGGTGGCCTCGTGTCCTGAAGAAAACAACAATGTCCAGGAGAAGTTGACTATTCGTGATGTAGAATCTGATGTGATGGACAATTTTGCTGGAGTTGTGGATACTGCTGGTGTGCCCAGTGGGTCAGACAGCATAGAGAGGGAGACATCCAGTGGCCACAGTGACAACACTGTGTCTGCCCACAGTGACAGTGCAATAACATACCAAGAGGATGATGATGGCACAGTGACGGTCCAGCAGGTGACTCAGGATGACCATCAGGATAGGGTAGTGACTGTCCGGTCCAAGATTTTCCGTACTCCCAGCAATGCCCAGGCTGAGGAGCGGGACACTGTTGTAGAGACGTTGTTCACATCGCCCGGTGGAACACAACTGCAAGAGCGTGATGTCATCAAGACCAAGAAGAGGCTGACATCTCGAGGTTCCAACTACTTCCAACGCAGTGTGCAAGTCACAAGACGGGTTCGGGACACAGCAGGTGGGGAGGTCGTGGAGCAGGATAACTGTGTGGAGTCCGACAGCAAGTCAGTGTCCAAGGGGCAGTCGTGGGGAGACAGAGTCATCACCAAGGTCACCCTAGACAAGCCGAATCAACAGCAGCCCATGATACAAGAGGCAGCAGATGCACCTAAGAAATCCCATGCTACCCTGGTGCTGAGCAAGCTGAATGTGTCCAAGGCCAGCAGCGGGTATGGGAGTGTGTCCGGGTCAGAGGAGGATGACCGTGAGGAGATCATAGACATCCATCAGACAAGACCAAAAGGTGAGATATCAATGATGTAGGGGTCAGTTAGGTGAGATATCAAGGATGTAGGGGTCAGTTAGGTGAGACATCTAGACTGTAGGGGTCAGTTAGGTGAGACATCTAGACTGTAGGGGTCAGTTAGGTGAGATATCCAGACTGTAGGGGACAGCAGGGTGAGATAGCCAGACTGTAGGGGACAGCAAGGTGAGATATCCAGACTGTAGGGGACAGCAAGGTGAGATATCAAGGCTGTAGAGGACAGCAAGGTGAGATAGCCAGACTGTAGAGGACAGCAGGGTGAGATATCCAGGCTGTAGGGGACAGCAGGGTGAGATAGCCAGGCTGTAGAGGACAGCAAGGTGAGATATCCAGGCTGTAGTGGACAGCAAGGTGAGATATCCAGACTGTAGAGGACAGCAAGGTGAGATAGCCAGACTGTAGAGGACAGCAAGGTGAGATATCCAGGCTGTAGGGGACAGCAAGGTGAGATATCCAGACTGTAGAGGACAGCAAGGTGAGATAGCCAGACTGTAGAGGACAGCAAGGTGAGATAGCCAGACTGTAGAGGACAGCAAGGTGAGATAGCCAGACTGTAGAGGACAGCAAGGTGAGATAGCCAGACTGTAGAGGACAGCAAGGTGAGATAGCCAGACTGTAGGGGACAGCAAGGTGAGATATCCAGGCTATAGGGGACAGCAAGGTGAGATATCCAGACTGTAGAGGACAGCAAGGTGAGATAGCCAGACTGTAGAGGACAGCAAGGTGAGATATCCAGACTGTAGAGGACAGCAAGGTGAGATATCAAGACTGTAGAGGACAGCAAGGTGAGATAGCCAGGCTGTAGGGGACAGCAAGGTGAGATATCCAGGCTGTAGGGGACAGCAAGGGGAGATATCCAGACTGTAGAGGACAGCAAGGTGAGATAGCAAGGCTGTAGAGGACAGCAAGGTGAGATATCCAGACTGTAGGGGACAGCAAGGTGAGATATCCAGGCTGTAGAGGACAGCAAGGTGAGATAGCCAGACTGTAGAGGACAGCAAGGTGAGATATCCAGACTGTAGGGGACAGCAAGGTGAGATATCCAGACTGTAGAGGACAGCAAGGTGAGATATCCAGACTGTAGAGGACAGCAAGGTGAGATAGCCAGACTGTAGAGGACAGCAAGGTGAGATATCCAGACTGTAGGGGACAGCAAGGTGAGATAGCCAGACTGTAGAGGACAGCAAGGTGAGATAGCCAGACTGTAGGGGACAGCAAGGTGAGATATCCAGGCTGTAGAGGACAGCAAGGTGAGCTGTAATGTCTATAACATATGAACAGTCTACTCACTTCAGGACATTCTTTCCAATAGGATTAGTTTACTCTCATCCCTAGTTCCAAACACCTTCCTTGAATATTTCAATGCAGGTCTATGTGTATTGTGTTGACAGGCATCCATGACTACATCTCCCGTATAGTGTCATGTGGTCTCCGCTCCGCTGCCCCTGCGGAGGAGGGAGGAGGAGGGTGCACTAGACGTATAGTGGTTAGAAAGAAACATGTTTACCCTGGCTGGAGAGTTTGTACGCATGTTTCTGTGTTCCCACACCCTATGTAGCTGTGTTGTGTGCTGTTACACATTAATGTTGTGCACTGTTTGATGTGTGGACTTACGCTGTCACAAGATGTTGTGTTTCAATCCTGCATGTTGGCAGTATGGCACATGGACACCACATGTTCCTCAGCAACTACACTTACAAAAGATGACTGATAAGATCTGAGCCTCACATTTTGTTTTCCTGGGACAAGTCATAAAAAATGAGCAGGGGTCAGTGACCTTTGGAGTAGAGACAAACTTGAGGAAAGTGCAGTGAAAGCCATCCATGAAGATATGAGTACAACACTAGGGAAGGATGAGTACAACACTAAGGAAGAATGGGTACAACACTAGGGAAGGATGAGTACAACACTAAGGAAGGATGAGTACAACACTAGGGAAGGATGAGTACAACACTAGGGAAGGATGAGTACAACACTAGGGAAGGATGAGTACAACACTAGGGAAGGTTGAGTACAACACTAGGGAAGATCCAACACTAGGGAAGGATGAGTACAACACCAGGGAAGGATGAGTACAACACGAGGGAAGGATGAGTACAACACTAGGAAAGGTTGAGTACAACACTAGGGAAGGATGAGTACAACACTAGGAAAGGATGAGTACAACACTAGGGAAGGGTGAGTACAACACGAGGGAAGGATGAGTACAACACTAGGGAAGATCCAACACTAGGGAAGGATGAGTACAACACTAAGGAAGAATGGGTACAACACTAGGGAAGGATGAGTACAACACTAAGGAAGGATGAGTACAACACTAGGGAAGGATGAGTACAACACTAGGGAAGGATGAGTACAACACTAGGGAAGGATGAGTACAACACTAGGGAAGGTTGAGTACAACACTAGGGAAGATCCAACACTAGGGAAGGATGAGTACAACACCAGGGAAGGATGAGTACAACACGAGGGAAGGATGAGTACAACACTAGGAAAGGTTGAGTACAACACTAGGGAAGGATGAGTACAACACTAGGAAAGGATGAGTACAACACTAGGGAAGGGTGAGTACAACACGAGGGAAGGATGAGTACAACACTAGGGAAGATCCAACACTAGGGAAGGATGAGTACAACACTAGGAAAGGATGAGTACAACACTAGGGAAGGGTGAGTACAACACGAGGGAAGGATGAGTACAACACTAGGGAAGGGTGAGTACAACACGAGGGAAGGATGAGTACAACACTAGGAAAGGATGAGTACAACACTAGGGAAGGGTGAGTACAACACGAGGGAAGGATGAGTACAACACTAGGGAAGATCCAACACTAGGGAAGGATGAGTACAACACTAGGAAAGGTTGAGTACAACACTAGGTAAGGATGAGTACAACACCAGGGAAGGATGCCCCTTCCTTCCTGTGCCACTGTAAAGTGGGGTACAGCAGAGTTTAAGAGAACCTTGGAGACGAACCCCAGGTTTGGAAGGCCTGTGATATTAGCAACACCAGAAATGATCCAGACAATCAATGATATGGTGATGGTCGACCGGCGAATGACTGAGTGTCATATTGCTAGTTCAGGAGGCATTTCCCAGTACATTCCATTATCACAGAAACTTTGGCAATGAAGAAAGTATCAGCGAGTTGGGTTTCAAAGTTTCTGACATCTGATGAAAACAATGCACCAGACACAACATGTCTAATGATAACCTAGCTCTGTTTGAAGCTGATCCAGAAATGTTCTTGTAGCAAATTCGGATCATGAATGAAACCGGGGTTGACCACTTCCAGTCCAAACAACAATCAAATCAGTGAGAACATTTGACATCAAATATAATCATATCTAATAGTTGTGAGGGAAACCCTAACCCTCGCCAGGGGCGCCACTGCGCATGCACAAGGTGGGAATCACCTCACTTCTTTCCTGTGTGTCCAGATGACAACAAGGACAATTTTTGTTGCATACATCTGTACACGTGATTGCTGTTCCACACTTACAAGCCACACTAGATCATCACTAAAGACGAGGAGTGAGCAGTTCTAAAAGCAGAGAACAAGGGGTATAAGGAGTCAGAAGTCTCTAGCAAGTAATAAGTTAGAAAAGTGTTGTTGGATGAGGACTTCATCCCCAAAACAGACACCCGTCTGTTCAGCTTATGGGCAACATCAAATCACTGGTGACCCTCATCCTACGTGCATATTGTGCAAAAGGGAACCAATGTACCTTTCGGGTTTTAACGTAACCAGTCACGTACATCCGGAAGCTCAATGACCCTGATTATAAGAACTCTAGAGCGTCAGCAAAATATTCATCTGCTTTATGTAAGAAAGTGATTAAGTCCGTTGTGACTACTAAAGATAATCACGTGGGTAACAAGCGAGTGTCACGCGAGGACGCCGTCTCGCCTTATGAGGAGAAGAGATCTCGTTGCTCATCCCACTCTCCCAATATAGTTAAGGAGCCGATGTACCTTTCAGACTTTAATGTAGCCTGTCACGTGCATCCAGAAGCGACTGGTAAGGTGGATCATCTAGGCTTGGAAGAAGCAACTGATCTCCACTCTATGTCACGCTCCCCCTTTAACTTAAATGAGTTCGGAGAAAATAACCAATTCAATGTCTGTAATGATTGATAAACGTATGCAAACAATGTCTCAGGAAATCTCATATCTAAAAAGAATCCGTCGCACAACCCCGGCATGGCCAAACAGGGCTTGATCACAAGATTCAAAAGAGATCTAAGGGTGAATATGACAGGGCATCCTCATACAGCAGACACGCACAAAGTCACGCTGTATCAGATTATTATGAGGACAGCAGGAGATCGATAATCTCATAGATTTCCTCCCTAACACGCACATACCCTAACATAGGGTAGATCGTGAATCACAGGCATCGCATCGCAGTATGCACAGAAATACACACCAGTCACCTTCTAGCCACTATGATAGACGAACTGACATCAAAACTCGCGCAAATCAGCATGGAATTCCTAAGCGTGCGCCATCCCATATTGTCACACAGTCCAGTCATACGGGCGGAGAAAGCGAGGGAGATGTTACGTCACAATTATACAGTTACAGAACTTGTGATTCCTGCACTGCTAGCCATAGATCAGACGACCAGGATTACTCTACCTTCAGCAATATGACCCACCCCCAGCGCAGCCTGAGCAAGGGGTGCGGATCTATCACTAACACTGGTTATTCATGCAATGGGGACTCTACTACGGAGGATAATTATAAACCAAATAATTATTCCATTAAAGATATCATTGCAGAACTTTATAATCTAATGCCGGCCTTAAAACCAGATAACAAGGACAAATGCCTGCTAAATCCTTGTTAGACCGTGCTGGGTATGAAGAACCTGTCAGAAAGACTGAAGAATTCCATACCCTCCCCTGTCCGTCATATATTGATGACGTCATCAAGAAAATTGAAGCATCATTGAACGCTTCACCGGCGCATAATGTC